GCACTTGTACTGCCACTGCTGCACACAGTTGTGCGCTTCCGGTAGCATCCAACATGAGTCCATCGTGTGGCTACATTCGGCTTCTTGAATAACAGAAAGAAACAGAACTTCCACACCGTCTGATGTGTCAGTCATATGGTGCCCATTACTATTTCTTAGATCTGTGCCAGGAACTATTCGCACACTTCACAACCCTCAATTTGTCCTAACCTGTTTATGCAGGCGCAGTCCACGTAAGGCCCGTCCACTTACGAGCTGTTTTCTTACAACTCGTTCACATAAAATCCGTTCATTCAGTCACACAAGGCGTCTAAAGCCACAGTTCGTCTAAAACCTTCTTGAGTTCTTAGCCATACCAATTTCACACTCAAACGTTGAACTTTTGTGAATGGCGACGTAAAAAACATAAGACCGTACCAATAACCTCAGCAAGCACGGTAACCAGTTTATTTTTTACATGAACGAGAAATACTTTGCATTGTTGTGAAAGCAAGCGTGTGAATGTAGCAGCATATTGAACGAGATCATCAACAGTTACTAAAGCTGAGCAGATAAAATTTCGGAAAGTATGCCGCAGCTGTGAACATAGCAGCGAAATCCGAATAAAATTTTCACCACGCTCGCTGAGGTAGTTGGTGTGGTCATGTGTTTTATGCGTAGCCATTCACACAAGTTCAACGTTTTGAATGTAAAATTTATGTTATGGGACTAAGAATGCAAAAAGGTTTTAGACGAACAATGGCTTTAGACGCCATGTGTGAATGAGCGAACGGATTTTATGTGAACGAGTCGTAAGAGAACAGATTTTAAATTAGCGGGCCTTACGTGAGCTGAGCCTATTACATAACCAGATTAGGACAAGTTGAGGATCGTGAAGATTGCGGATAGTCCTTCCTGGCCCTGCTCTAAGAAATAGTAATGGGCACCATACGACTGACACATCAGACGGTGTGGGAGTTCTGCCCCGTTCTGATATTCAAGAAGCCGAATGTAGCCACACGGTGGTCGCATATTGTACGCTGCTGGAAGCACACAACTGTGCGCAACACAGCTGCTCATAGCGATTGATATAATGTCAGTCCTTTACGGACTTGCAAAAATTGATCAGCTTGTTGTGATCAATTCCCAATCTAGGCCCAATCTAGGACGATGTCAGGATGCTCATCACTCAAAAAAAACCCCATCTAACCCAGCCCAGGCAGGATAGAAGGGGCGACTGGGGTGGCCACGTCAGT